ACTTGATCCACTCTGCTTTGATGTTTTGATTCTATGGCTAACGTCCGCATCAATATCTCCATCCCTCTGTAGCATCGATCCCAGATACCGAAAGGTATCCTTCTTAGGCACTACTTGACCTTCCAAATTCACATCTCCCTCCTCCTGTACAACTCCGCCAAAGTCACACCTCATGTATTCAGTTTTAGTTCTGCTCAATCTAAAACCTTTAGACTCAAGGGTCTGCCGCCATAACTCTAGTTTCCTAGTTACTCCCGTCTGGCTTTCGTCCACTAACACTACATCATCAGCGAACAACATACACCAAGGGATATTCCCTTGTATGTTCTTGGTAACCTCATCCATTACCAAGGCAAAGAGATACGGGCTTAAGGCTGACCCTTGATGAAGTCCAATTTTAATCGGGAAGTAATCTGTATTACCATCGTTTGTTCGAACACTAGTCACAACATTGTTGTACATGTCCTTGATGAGGGTCACGTACTTTGATGGGACTTTATGTTTGTCCAAAGACCACCACATAACATTTCTTGGTATCTTGTCATAAGCCTTCTCCAAGTCAATGAAAACCAAGTGGAGGTCCTTCTTCTGCTCTCTAAACCGCTCCATAACCTGTCTTATTAAGAAGATTGCTTCTGTGGTTGATCTTCCGGGCATGAAACCAAATTGGTTTGTTGATATCTGCGTCGTTCCTCGCAGGCGCTGCTCGATGACTCTCTCCCATAACTTCATAGTGTGGCTCATCAACTTAATTCCCCGATAATTAGTACAACTTTGGATATCTCCCTTGTTCTTGTAGATTGGTACCAATGTGCTTCTTCTCCACTCCTCAGGCATCTTGTTCGATCGAAAGATATTGTTGAACATCTTGGTTAGCATACTATAGCTATATCCTCGAGACATCTCCACACCTTGATTGGGATAGGCCCAAAATTTACTAAATTTACAACTACTGTTTCATGGTTGTTCCTGTATTAACTTCATTTGATTGTGTGTCTATTCCATCAGTTCCCTGTCAGAATTAGATGTATAGCTATCAAGCTATGTAACTGTAATGAACATCATTAGCAGGTTATGATATTCATTATACAAGTATAATTGGATTAAACCTGTGAATATAAGAAACCTTCACTGTTTTTGTAGACATTGTTATAGGAAAACTTGCTCATTCTACTTTGTTAGCTTTCTGTTATTGCATTCATGTCAAATACCACTCAAAGATATTGCTATTATTTGGAATGAAGCTTCTTGCCAAATGAAGGGCTTGTCCATGAGCATCTGTACAAGATCATGTACCTTTCTTTTCCAACTAGTTTAATGCAATATGAGCAAGGCCCTGTCTGGGTAGGTGGGATTTGGATCCATATTCTTTAACTATACTGAGCAATCACCCACATCCTAACACCCCCCTTGTCTGGAATTTCTCTGTAACTATACCTTAGCTTCCATAAGTGCTCTGCTTGTATGTACTCTCCTGTTTTACAAAATCATCATATCATAGTGTCTGTAGACAAACTCTAATACTCCACCAACCTTTTTTTTTTACATAACCACATTAGATTTATGCTGATTTTAGGTCAAACCCTGCAATTTATTTTTCTAATAGTGTTATTCACTCTCTCTCTCTCTCTCTCTCTCTCTCAGATATGCTGGTGCTGTTTTTGCGGATGCATGCTTGAAGGGTCTGAATGGAGTTCCGGACATTGTAGAGTGCTCTTTTGTGCAATCAACTGTGACAGAGTTGCCATTCTTTGCCTCCAAGGTACTTAATGCATAACTGTCTACCTAAATTTTAGCTATGTATTTATCATATGGTCAAAGTAAATATCTGTGGTTCTTGTTACCTGCTTTTCTTTTTCTGTTGAAGGCCTGTAACCTTGTACAGGTTACCAACGTTTAAATTACGATAGTATAATTTGTTTCACAGTTATTTCTGACTCCCTCCATTCCAAATTGTAAGTCATTCTGGATTTTCTAGATACATAGCTTTTGCTACGCATCTAGATATATATTATGTCTAGATACATACTAAGAGTTATGTATCTAAAAAAAATCAGAACGACTTACAATTTGGAATGGAGGAGGAGTATATAAGTGAAACTCTTAGTTCTGTGTCCTGAATTATTTGTGGTTGGAGGCGTTAAAAGAACTTTCTCATTGTTCAGTTTTACGTTTATAATACCTTTTATTTTATTATCTCGATGTGTCCGGCATGTCTTATGGATTAATGGGACTGGAGTACTGAACCTGCAAACCAATTGCCATTTTGGTGCATTGAGCATCCGTGTTGCATGTTAGACATCCGGTTCCATATTAGCAAGTTCGAGTTACCAGGCTTCTATTAAAATATGAAAAAAATGTTAAGAGCTAGCTTATGAGTCAGCCATTGCGGGTGCCCTTACAGGACAAATGAATTAGCTTTAGATAATTTATCTTGATCTAAATCTCAAGTGATCTTGACTGGAGGGTGTAAAAACAATGTGTAGTTATTGCCACTGTCTTTACCTATGCTAGTTGGACGGGTTCTGGTTCAGCATTGCTCTTGATTTTGTTAGTTTTTTTTTCCCTCACTATGAGATGGTCTTGGAGTTCTAACATTACTCCCTTTCATGTTACAGGTACGGCTCGGCAAGAATGGAGTGGAGGAAGTGCTTGGTCTGGGTGAGCTCAACGACTTCGAGAAGAAGGGGCTGGAAAACCTCAAGGGCGAGCTCAAGTCTTCCATTGAGAAGGGTATCAAGTTCGCCCACGGGAACTAGGCAACCTGCTCGGCTTCTAACAATTGATATCCCTTGCATTTTTTGTTTGACTGCCTTTTTTCTGGAACCCTTATGGTTGGCGCAATGAGGCGTAGTGGTCCATAATAAAACCCAGCGGAACGAAGAAAACGCGTACCAGGAACAGTTTGCAAACACCGGTGCTTTTTGTGCTGAGCCACCACTAGTTGAGCCGTGAGGGAATGGAGAACAAACTTTCCACTTGCTCATTTCCGAGCGCTTCTCTTTGATTGTATGCATGTTTTGGACTCGTCTGGGCGTCTTGGCACACACGAATCCGGTCGCTGGAGTTGCTGGATACTGGTGTGAAAAATCCAAAACTGCTGTTGTCGAGATTTTGCAGCGATTGGAGTCTGATCGGAACTGTTGAGCGGGACACCTCTGAGGTCCCGTACTGGATCGGTTGTCCGGAATGGTACGCAGATATGCTTACACATTGATGATACTAAACGCGATTCTTGGATGCTTGTTCGTATGGGGCTCTGGTTCAGGGCATATACAAAGGATCCATTTGGCAATTGGCTGATGCATTGATTTAGGTGTGGATTTCTGGTTGGAGGGTCTGGAACGAGCGATTGGCTGATGCATCGATTTGGCAAGGCATGAACCGGCACGGATGGATAGTGCTGGATGCTCAAGCGGCTTTGCCCAACACGCTCCCAAAAAAGTAGAAAGAAATGTCTTCTTTTTTTAGATGATGTAGCACGCTGGACTGTATCCATCGTGAAAAACGAATATGGGATGTTTCCCGTTTTTATTGGTTTGCTGCAAACCATCGATGTTATGACCTACATACTGAGCAAAACCGGTGCACTGGTCTTGGGGCATGTTTTGATCCATTAGCACTAAAAGATAGCTAGCTAGCAGTTAATAGCCGTTATTTTTTAGCTTGCTAATCTTTATTAGGAGACCGGCTAGATTGACGGTTGGACAGTGGATTGAAGGAACTTATAAACTATTAGCAGCTTTCAGCTAATAATTAGCTGCTAATTTTTCAATGCACTGTCTCTAATTGTATCCTGTCAACTCTATGGAGATATGATACACGCGGTGGAATTAAGAACTCGTGTGGTGGAGTTAAGAACTCGTAGGCAAAGCGGTAGCCACGATGACAATGCAGCTTGGCGTTCTCTGGTATAATTCAACTTCTTTTTATACACTCTCTCATGAATGCTCCATTCTGGCGTCAAAAGTTAATCCAAAAATTGCACCGGACCATAATATTACCTCCTTTTTAATTGAAAAACTGTCATAAGACGTGCTACGGTTGGATTAGCGATCAAAAATTTTCTACAACATGAGCAAACAGGTCGACCCAGCACACCTGATATCATTTGTCTCCATCAGTGCTACTGTCATCGAAGTAGACCTGGAAGCTAGATTTAGCATGCATATCTCTGGCAGCTGGATCCTTCCATAGTTCTATGTTTATTCAGAATCATGTTACACGCTTGAAAGCTACCATTTTGGTGTGCCAATCAACGTCGTCGTCAACTCATCATAGATAAATTTCACCAAAAACGAAAAAGGGTGGCAAATGTCACAAAAAAAACAGAGTGAAGCAGGATGATGATCAGATCTTGGACGGGACAAGCAACTAGGCTTGCACGCAACCAAGTGACACATGCACTTGTACCTCCATTCTTGTTGCCAGGCCAGGCAGATCGTCTACCTACCTGCAGGGGTTTGGGTCCCGTTTCCCTACCGGCGATCACACTGCGCTCACACTCCAGTTTTCTGATGCACTCACAGGATCGGAAACGTTTTCACAGCAGAAAAATTTTGTGACTGTTCGTGCACACACCTGACCTGACGTACGTAAGAACGCCATGCATCAATGCAAACAGGCTAAAGTGCATCACCGGCATGTTCCTATTTGGAGCGTACGTGTAGATGTTGGCTACAAGCCAAGATCATTTTGTCGGAGACGCAAGGTCTCACTACCAACATTTCGTTGGCGCATCTAGTTTCCCGTCTCGCCGGTCATTTTCCAGCTGCACGATATAATACACTTTCTTTTGGCACACTGAGATAGAAGCATTTCAGAACGAACATAGCAAAGCCGTTGTCATCGATCTCATCGACGCGACCTGCATCTATCTAGTCTATCTAGTGATATATATAAATACACCCCATGACCACAAGCAGCAATGCAAGCCGAAACGAAGCTACAGCCAGCAAACAGTCTGAACCAAACTCTAGCTAGTAGCCAAACCAAAGGCGATGACGCTCGGAAGCATTGCCAGCCGGTGGCGCGAGCTCCAGGGCGCGGACTCGTGGTCGGGGATACTGGACCCGCTGGACCTCGACCTGCGAACGAACCTCATCACCTACGGCGAGCTCACGCAGGCCACCTACGATGGGTTCAACCAGGAGAAGCGGTCGCCGCACGCCGGCGCGTGCCTGTTCGGCTACTCTGACCTGCTGGCCAGCTCGGGCGCCGCGGCGGCCGGGAGCTACACCATCACCAAGTTCATCTACGCCACGTCGGCGCTCCCCGTGCCCGAGGCGTTCCTGCTGCTGCCGCTGCCGGACCTGCTGCCGGAGTCGTGGAGCAGAGAGTCCAACTGGATGGGGTACGTCGCCGTCGCCACCGACGAGGGCGTCGCCGCGCTGGGCCGCCGCGACATCCTCGTCGCGTGGCGCGGGACCATACGCAGCCTCGAGTGGGTCAACGACTTCGACTTCACGCCCGTGTCCGCCGCGCCCGTGCTGGGATCCGCCGCCGCCGCCAACCCGGCCGCCTTGGTGCACCGCGGGTTCCTCTCCGTGTACACGTCCAGCAACCCGGACTCCAAGTACAACCAGACCAGCGCCAGAGACCAGGCAAGTGTTAGCTCTGCTTGCTACTGCTACTCTATATATATGTACTGATGACTACTGAGATTCAGATCGACCATTTCCCAGTTCTTTGACTTCGTCACCTAAAAATCACCAAAGTGTTTTCGACAAATTAACCTTCAATCTTCTGTAAACATTTCACTCATTGGTGAAAATTGTTCACCGTGAAGAATTAATTCGTGGCTGTACGTTAGAGTCTAGGCACATGCACATTGCATGAATGTTCCGGTAGGCCCTACTTGTCAGGCACTGATCATTGGGTCTGTTCGCTGGTTGGTTTTTGGGCTGGTTGGCTTAAACTTGCATCCAATTAAGCAACGAGTTAGCTCATGCGAAAAGGAATGCATTGATGGCTTAAATTTGTTGAGAGGCATAAAAGTTGATACTTAAGCAACGAGTTACTGTAAAAATATGTTTTTATAATTAATATAATGATACTTGTTATCATAGATATTAGTAATTTTTGTATAGATTTAGTTAAATTTAAAATTGTTTGACTCTTTGCCTTTGGCAAGTGAGAATTGCATTCTCTTTAGGATGAAATGGAGTATTACCAAATCAGATGCTTATCACGTACTGTGCAGTGCTTAGTGAAGAACCACATGAATGAAATATGATATGGTGCAGGTCCTGGCGGAGGTGAGCAGGCTGATGGCACTGTACAAGGACGAGGTGACGAGCATCACGGTGACCGGGCACAGCCTGGGCGCCTCGCTGGCCACGCTCAACGCCGTGGACCTCGCGGCCAATGGTGTGAACGCGCCGCCGGCGGGCTCCTCGCAACCGCCGTGCCCCGTGACGGCGTTCGTGTTCGCGAGCCCGCGCGTCGGGGACGGAAACTTCAAGACGGCGTTCGCGTCGTTCCCGGACCTGCGGGCGCTCCACGTGAAGAACGCCGGCGACATCGTGCCGACGTACCCGCCGCTCGGGTACGTGGACGTGGCCGTGCAGCTGCCCATCGCCACGGGGCGGTCGCCGTACCTGAAGCAGCCCGGGACGATCTTGACGCTGCACAACCTCGAGTGCTACCTGCACGGCGTCGCCGGCGAGCAGGGCAGCGCCGGAGGGTTCAGGCTGGAGGTGGACCGCGACGTCGCGCTGACTGACCAACAACCCGGTGCCCGTGGACGCGCTCATGGACCAGTGGGCCCCAGGTGCCCGTGGCCATGCACGGTATGTAGTGGCGCCAGGAACAAGTTCATGGTCAAGGGCGCCGACGGCCACTGGGCGCTCCAGGACTTCGAGCAGATCTGATCAGATCAGAGATTTGGCTCGCACATTTATTATTATTTTAACCCTGCTCTCTTAGGCTAGAGTTAGCATGCATGATGTATGTAGTATATATATCTGAATAATGAGTGCCAATAGGCAATACGGCATGCATGTATTATCATTCAGGTTGTGTGTGTGTGTGTGATGCTTCTCAACTCTTCCTCCTACGAACCGGAGATTGCGATGAGGCTGGAGTCAAATATTATTTATAAATAAATAAACCATCCTCTGATTGTGATTGTGTCTCATGCATGGTGCCATAATTCTTGGCTGATTCTTCCTACCGTATAGACGGCACTGAACAACAGCGCTCTGAGGTGCACGATGATTTCTGAACCGGAGAAGGCGGACGCGTCCTCGTAAACAGGCCGATTTTCTTCTAATAACGGATTTGTTCCGGCTTCACCGCTTCAAAAATCTTCAAATCAAAGAATAAGTATGAGACTACAGATCATCTCCTGGTGGGCTGTGTCTACTCCAGGGAAATTTGGACCAAAGTCCTCGGAGCGGCCTGTTCGCTGGTTGGTTTCTGAGCTGATTTATTGTGAGAGAAAAACACTGTTGGCTGACTGGTTTGGACTGGCTGAAACCAACAAACGAAGAGGCTTGTTTGAAGGTTTGGTGGCTTCATTCATTATCAGCCCCGATTTTAGGAAAGGTTTTGATTTTGACTCGCTGGTACTGCTCATCTCATGGTCTGTCTGGAATGAGCGCAACCGTCGCCGTATTCAGGAACGAATCAATGCAGCCACACAGCCTGCTGTTACTAATTCTGGAAGAAGCCCATGCGTGGATTCAGGCCGGCTACACGTCGCTAGCGCCTCTGCTGGTGAGGGCGGTGCCTTAGGAGGGTGTGCTCTATACCTTGCGGTCGCAAAATTGTACTTTGTAATAGGAAGCTGTAGTATTCTTGGGAAGCCGGGATTTGGGTAGCTTCGGTATTCGTCTTGCAATGCCGTGCTTCCTTTGTCTCGGTTGTATCAAACTTCTAGCTCCTTTCCTCTCAGGTCTGATTTGGATCCTTAGAATTAAATTCGTTCTAATAAATTATAATTTAGACATATATTAATTAGGCTAATATGGTTGTATATGAAATATATTTGTATATTATTGTTAGCCATGCAAGAGAGATGCTTATATGTTGTATTTCTACTATAGAAAAACGAGTTGAAAAGTGTGATATAAGTTGCAGAATAGAAACATAACATGGTGATCTATAAAATCAATTTCCATCCTCCACCCTATGAATTTGAGATAAGCTTATATGTGAACTTTGGAAAATTGTGGAATCTCAATTTAAAGCCAAATAACCTAATTCATTAAGTAGATTCTAATTCCTCCTAAATGAAGGAATCCAAATGGCCCTTAATAAAATACTTGCGCTACGGCGCATGTTCGTGAAAAAAAAGATTAAGTATGAGACTATGACTGAAAATCAAAACACAAAAGGTGTTCGACATAAGTGGATATATAAGCAATCATAAAGATCATGCAAAGCCTCTATGGGACTGTCAGCAGGCACCTGAGCGACTCCCAAATTTTTTTTTTCTCTTCATGGAACATCTTTTGCTAGAACATACAGCCGTTCCAGGTCAAAAAAAAAAAAGTTCAACTGCAAAGGAGTCATGAAGTGAAAAATGTTCTATACTTTGAAAGGGAAAAAAATGGTTCATTAAGTAGTAAGTGGGGAGATGCTAATTTACAGGTGCCTGAAAAGTAGCCAGGCTCTCAGGCGCTTTACAGTTGTTGGATTTAATTGAATGGCTGGATCATCGCCTTCAATCTCTAGCATAGCTGCTGCAAGGTCATTAACCACCAATGGGGCAGTCTAATGCAGCAAGGTGAGGCTCCACCGCAGGACACGGGGCCGCTCGCCCACTGGTCTATGCACCTCAGCGCCTGTGGTCTGCAGGTTGGCCGAAAGCAGGAAGCAAGCAGCGGAGTTGCATCGCTGAATAGTACTAAAAACTCAGTCGCCTGATAGATAGGAATCGTGAAGTGGTAAACATATATAATTAGCGACATAAATCATTTTTTAGTTGCTTAGGTGACATAGATATAGGGAACATCCCCATGCATAACCAAATGACTACTTGTCAATCGATTGTATGGGTTTTGTCCTTTCCACACAAAGCTGCCTGCATGGCAAGAGTTCGTTCCATCCCTTCGCCGTCTACTCATCATCCTCGTCCTCCTCGCAATCCATCAAGCTCCAGCGCCCGTCGTCGGCCTCCACCATGCCCCTGTTCAGCGGCACCCACCACCCGGGCGGTACCCCATAGTCGTCCCGCAGCGCGTCGTACAACTTGTTCACCAACGCCACGTCCCGCGCCACGGCGAGCTCGAACCCACCGCGCGCGCCCCGCGTGCCCGCCACGCCGTGCAGGTACACCTCGAGGTTGTGCCAGGTCTGCTCGCGCCCGGGGCTCTTCAGGTACGGCGACTCCCCCGTGTCGATCGCGAGCTCCGCGCCGACGTCGTGGTAGAACACGATCGGGTACTTGGGCACGACGTCGCGGGCGTTGCGGACGCGGAGGAGCCGCAGCCCCGGGACGGCGTCGAACCGCTTCTTGAAGCCGCCGCCGCCGACGCGCGGGCTGGCGAACGCGAACGCGGTCACCGGGAAGGCGGCCGCGCCCGCCGCCGCCACGTTGTAGCCGTTGGCGGCGATGTCAAACGCGTTGAGCGTGGCGAGCGCCGCGCCGAGGCTGTGGCCCGTCACGGTGATGCTGAGCTCCTCGTCCCTGTACGTGTCCACCAGCCTCCGCACCTCGCTCAGCGCCTGATGCCGTGCGCTGTCCTGGTTGTGGCTGGACGCCGGGTCGGTCGAGGTGTACATGGACAGCCATCCACGGTGCACCATGGCGTCGCAGGCTTGGCCGTCCCCGAGGAGGCCTCTGGTCGGTACCATGGGGAACTCGAGGTCGTCGGCCCACTCCAGCTTCTGCATGGTGCCGCGCCACACGACGACGACGTCGCGGCGGCCCAGCGCGGCCTTCCCTTCGTCGGTGGCCACCGCGACGTAGCCGATCCAGTTGGACTCCCTGCACCGGCGCGACCTGGACACGGACCTGAGGATGAACGCCTCCGGCACGGCCACCGACGACGTGGCGTACAGGAACCTGGTCACCCGGTACGCGGCGGCGTGCGCCAGCAGCCGCACCCGGTCGAAGAAGCGCGCCCTGGCGAAGCGGGACAGCCCCGCGTGCGGCGACGCCCGCTCGCGGTTGAAGGCGTCGTAGGTCGCCTGCGCCATCTCGCCGTACCGGAGCACGGTGCGGCGCAGGTCCAGGTCCAGCGGGTCCAGCAGCCCCGACCAGCCGCCGTCGCCGCCGCCGCCGTGGAGCTCGCGCCACCGCCGGGCCGTGTCGCCGAGGCCGCCGTGCTGGGACATGTTGCCTTGCTGGTGCTTCTTCTGATGATCAGCTTGCTCAGCGTGGTTGATCTATATATGGAGGACACAGTGATGGTAGCTTGCTTGGGTTTGCTTCTGATGACGAGGATTGCAAACGGCAAAGGCATGACACGCACCGTGCTGGGACTGCGTGATGGAACGTACATGCTTCGTGTCCTGCTGCTTGCCCAAACTGGGCAGGGCCGCAGGGCGAACAGTGTAGCGGAGCAAGGTGAAGTGGGACACGCTTCGTGTCCTGGTCACGCCACACACACAGTACAACGCGTGAAGGTGCCATGGCTATGCATTGCAAACTGCATGCACCCACATCTGACGCGAGCAGGGGCAGCATGTTCGGTTGGCTGGTTCGTTTCGTTGCTGGTTTGTGAAAAAGTACCGCTGGCTGGTTTGTGTGAGAGAAAAATACTGTTTCGACTGAAAATTTACGATCGCTTATGACAAGCCACAGCCAAACGAACAGGCTGACTGATTCTTGGCTGCCCTGAACTCCTTTACAGAGAGAGAGAGCGCGCGCGCGCTTAGGCGGTGGGCTAGATCTAGTCCAAACATCCTCTGAAACAGGACCCAAGGCCGAGGGCTTTGTTGGGCCAGCAGTTCAGTTCCATGTATGCTGTTGGTGGATTCGGCTGTCACAAACAGAGCTTAGATTTCTTTTTTTTTGCCGGCTCGGTTGAACCAACTAGCCAACTAGGATAGTACTTTCCTAAAAAAAAGTAACAGTAGTTCTTGTATGAAATCTTTTGAAACTTTCACCACCGACACGGAACCTCAAAATTTAGTTTGGAGATATAAATTTGATAGCGTAGATTTTCCTTAAATAACAATTACATAATCACGGTGTTAAAAGGAACTTATAAGAAAATACCTAAATAAAGAGTTCAGATAAAACTTGATTAGTAAAGGTAAGAGCAACTCCAAGAGATTACCCAAAAAAGGACAAAATTCATGATTTAGCTATTGTCTAAAATAGAAACCTCAAAATAAAAAAAATAGAACTCTCTATTCTGCCATTGTCCATATTCAAAAAATGTAGAGACTCGGCAAGTCGGAACACTAGCTTTTCAACCTAGCAACCATCGTCCGCACGACTTGTCTTGATATAGGACATTCAGAAATGCAAATTCAGCTTCGGCAGGTGGAACAATGATTAGAAGCAAATTGCAAGAAGAGAGAGAATCGGTGTGCTCTCATGACATAAAGATTGCACGCATGTACAAGAGCTATCTAAGTCGGACACTAATATCTTGGCACACCTAGAAAACATATTTGAAGCACTTCAAATGCCCATGCCACTTCCTCACCCTTCTCTCCTCCATTCACTGTGTTCTACGCCTTGCCATCTCAACATGTCCGCTCGTCGAGTCACTCTGTCCCCGTCTTTCTAGTCGAGAAGTTTTGCATCACGATTGATGTTGATAAAGGAGAAACAACCAAATACACAGCCTGTTCGGTAGGCCATAAACGATCGTGGATTATTTACTGTTGGTTGGTTTGGTGTGAGAGAAAAATACTATTCCAGCTTATAATCCACGGTCGTATACGAGCAAGCGAACAGACTGACAATATG